TCAGTCAATCCCACCTGCGTTTATCAGCCAGGCTGGCACAATAAACTATCTCAGTAGCACACCAGGCTTTTCTTCTGAGACTCTACCTTTTTCATGAACATTGGTTAGCAGCCAAACTTGTTTACTGCTTGCTTGGATCCGCAGAAGCTACGGGTACTTCAGCTCTCACCTCCTCCTCAGCATCACTGGAGGCTGTGCGTGCTTGTTTCGAAAAGGTTTGGTCTGTCTGGATTTCTGTCTGCCTCTAGCGAATGGAAAAGGCCTGGACACGCCCACAAACAATGAAAGAATTAGTCCAAGACGATGGAGACTAAAGGATTAAGTCAGTATCACAGAATGCTACTAGTTCCTCCACAATCATTGTCCATTGCAAGTTTCCTAGGGGGGTGAAGGGTAACCGCAGTGCTAACATTTTGTACAGTGCTTTATAGATTTCCAAAGGAGCCCTGGTGGTGCTGTTAGGCACTGGCCTGCAAACTATACGGTTGAAGGTTCGAGCCCTGCACCTCAGTTCTCCGGCGACAGGTGAGGCTGTCTGCTCCAGTCTCGGAAACCCTGCACGCAGCGCACATGAGTCGGCATTCACTGGACGGCAGTGGGGTTGGTGGTTGTAGATTTCAAAGAGTTTTCACATTCAATATTTCAATTCTTGTTCACAACCTTATGGGGGGGTGGGGATGCGATAGCTTGGGGGGTGGCTGTGTTATACCATTTAACAGATGAAAAAACGGAGGCTCAAAGAGGCTGTGATCAGCCAAAATTCGATCTTATTCCCCGAATTCCAGTGGTTTTAGTTCCTGCTTGCAATTTTGTAGGGCACAACCTAGTATTTTCAAGCCCATTTAAAAAAAAATCATTTTATTAGGAACTCAGACAACTCATCACAATCCATACATTCATCAGTTGTGTAAAGCACATTTGTACATTCATTGCCCTCATCATTCTCAGCCCATTTTAAAAAACTCCATCCGTGTGTGTGTGTGTGTGTGTGTGTGTGAGAATTGGTTAGTATTCTGCGTAGCAGATCCTCCAAAATACTTATCGTATTTGTCTCTGGACTGTGAGACCTGAAGATAGGAAAGCCGGTGAGGGCTTTGAGGTGTTGCTGAGCAGGAATTGGGGAAGCCAATAATACATAGTCTCGATCTATATTAACCGGAGGCTGCGCCACAATAGCATGAAGGAAAGAATCTCGGTGCAAACAGAAGAGATGCTGGAGACGGGGGATTCAGAGTCCAAGGTCCTAGATTTGAAAGGCTCCCCTACACAAAGAAACCGTGAAGTTCCCATGGCGCCATGCTCAGTTTGACCTGGGGATTACCCTCCCTGCTCAGGTGGAAACGCTTAGTCCATCGGGTCACCCAGCGGAGAGCCGACCTTCTTTTATTCCCGGGTGCCCGCCGGCCAACCCGCGCGGGGCACGCCCGAGACTCGCCAACAAAACTACAAGTCCCAGGAAGCCTTGGGACACGGACGGTGCTGACGAAACCCTCGCGGATTGGCCGCGTGGGGCGGGGCGCGCAGGCCCCCTCCAAGAGGCGGGGCGGGGCTCGGGTCGCGGGGCGGGGCGGGCGTTGGCGGCTCGGCGGGCACGCCCCCTCGCCCGCGGCCCCCTCCCCGCCTTTCTCCGCCGCCTCCTCTCGCTCCCGGGTCAGAAGGCCGGAGCGCGAAGATGGCGAAGACGTACGATTATCTGTTCAAGCTGCTGCTGATCGGCGACTCGGGGGTGGGCAAGACCTGCCTCCTGTTCCGCTTCTCCGAAGACGCCTTCAACACCACCTTCATCTCCACCATCGGTGAGGGAGGGGCGCGGGCCCGGGCGGGGGGCGGGGAGCGAGGGCCGTGGGGCGGCCGGGGCTGGAGAGCCCGGAGAGAGGGTCCTGGGGGCGGCCGGGGGCCGAGGGCAGTGAGGGAGAGGACGGGCGGGGACGTGGGGCCGGGCGAGAGGAGGAACTTGGGCGCAAAGGAAGGGAAAGGGAACCACAGGACCCAGGACCGGGAATATTGGGGAAGGAGGGGATCCGGGGGCTGACAGGGGAGGGGTCCTAGGAGGACGAAGTGGGGGGCCCAAGAAAGCTCATCAAGAGGAGACAGAGACTAGTGAGTGTCAAAACGGGTTAAAAGCCAGGAAAGAGGAAGGAAACGTGAAGGGGGAAATGAAGGGCTGGGGGAAATGGGAGGGATGCGAAGCAGAGGGACCGAGGACACGGGACAGGAAGGGTGAGAAGCAGGCAATCGGGAGGGAATGGAGTGGAATGAGGGTGACCTCGAGGTGAGGTCTGGGCAGAAGAAAAGTGCAGGTGGGGAAGAGTTGCGGGGTCCAGAGGGTGGCCGGAGGGGTCCTGGTAGGAAAAGTAAAGAAGACTTGGGTGGAGATGAAAAGGCACCGCTATCTATGGAGGATTGAATTGTTCTGGGATCGTTCATGAGTGTTGGTGGGTTGGTGACTTGGAATGGTGTGGCCAGGAAAATCTTTAATAACTTCTCAGCTAACAAATTCGCCTTAACATTCTCCCTGTGGCCTTGTATGCTTTATTCTGGTTCTAGTTATTTGCTAAGGGAATCTCCACATTCACTGTACATTCATCTACTCCAACTACTTCCAATTGATTTCCGAGTTTTGCTTCATTTTTCTGATGGTGACTGGGAGCCGTCCTTCCAACTTTTGGGGGTGGAAACCATTGTGTTCAGGTAAATAAGATCTCAAACTTTCCATAAGCCGAAGAGCAAATTAAATTTGAGGTTAAGCTACCTATAGAAGCAATCTTAACATCATTTCCCTCACTAAATAGCCGCAGTTAATTAAGCACCCTAGGAATCTTAACTTTGGGTTGTCTGGGTGATGTTTGTGGCCTTAATAGAAGCTCATTCAGGCCTCCATCCAATGGTTCTTAACAATGTATTGCACCATGAATTTCTGGGTTGGAGAATACTAATGCACTTTGGAAGGATGTTCAAATATTTGTGTTTAAAGCGTAACTTATCTTTTGTCAGAAGGAATGTTTAGGTATAGTGTGCTCTTTACTCAAATATTCCTAGGGAAGGCTAGGGTTTATTGGTCTGTTTGTCTGGGCCTCAGAGCTTCCCTGTGGATTAGATGGTCCGAAACCTCATCTGCATTGTGATGTCTGTCTGGGTTTAAGGAAGTTTGAGTTGCAAGTTCTTGGCAGTCAGTCTTGAGTGGGACTTTTTCTTCTCTGAGGAAGCAAATTTTAAATGTCATCTCACATGTATGTTCCTAAGAGATTTGGTGGGAACTGGTATAGTGACTAAAGGACATTTGTTTTTTGATGTAAGTACCAAATTCCAAACCTCATACCATCTCTTTGCATTTCTGAATGCGTAATGCAGTACAAATGGACTTGAAGGGCAATTTCTAAGACGTTGAATGGATAGTCTTTTTGTCCAGTATATGTTTGAACCCTCCCAGAGTACCCTCTTTCCCCAAGAGTGATGGATTTTGCTTGTGTTGTTTCTCCTGTGTCTCCTTAGCTGACTTTTGCTTTTTGCAATACTTCTATTAGTGGTTTGTTTGTTTTTTACCTCTCTCTCCCTCTCTCTCCTTAATGCACCCCCCTCCTCATTTCCTGTAAAATTGTCGGCTTCCTTTTGGCACAGCAGTTTAAAAATAGATATTTATCATTCTGAAGGACTAAAATCATTCTTGAGTGCATTATTTTTCTTTTTATTATTATTAGATGAGTGCATTGTGAGTTTCTTTGAAGGGTTGCAGTTAATTACGGCATGAAAACCATTGTCCTGAAACTGTTTGGGAGGTAGATGTTAATTTAAGCCGGGTAAATCTGATGCAAGATCTTGGTCTGAGTTTTCTGTGGGGTGGATGTGGTAAGAAGCAGCTAGGGGTGCTTGTCTTAAGATGACAAGGAGGAGGGGAAATCCCATGCCTTTTATTTAGCCCCAGAATGCTGACAGGAAGTGAGCACAAGACTTTATATACCTGAGACCTAATGTTTTGTAGTTGAAATTAAGCTGGGAAAATCATGTGACTATTAATACCATTGTAGTGAAATTAGGGAAAAACCCCACAGACTCTTTTTACAGCCCTGAAAGGCAGGTAGGCAGTGTTAACCTCTCTGGCCCGCAACCTTTGCTACCTGCAGCTCACCCCCCCAACTTCTCTACCCTAATGCTCAGCTGCTCTGAGGTTGTTGAAGTGAGAATTGGAGGTCTGTCGCCTCCCGAGCCAACCTTTTTTTTCTTGAAGCTCCGAGGTATGTCATTTCCTGGGGTTCTCTGACTGGGGTTTGACAAAGTCTGCCACAGCATTGCTGATGAAACTTGATAAGGGCGCCATCACATTTTCTTAACGCCTTGGGTTTGTTGGTGTATGTTTTGCGAGATACACATACACATGAGGAGTTCTCTTCCGTGAAAGTATATTCTCAGTTTTGCTTTGTCAAAGTTGAAATCATTTGTAAAAAGGGCGCTTGCCATCTTTAGACAGTTTTATTGGGAGTTTTGCCATCCTAAAAAGAAGGGTCCAGTTAGTCATTTGGATTCCGGATATAGGTGTCCCACAGGTACGCTGCTGCTTCTCCCTTCTCTGAGGATTTGCTGCTTGACTCAGATAGATGGTGGTTCCCTTTCTATTCTTGTGAGCAAGTGTGGGTCCAATTTCCTTTCATCAGGCTGTCTGAGGGTCTTCTGGACCCTCATTCCGATGAATAGTTGTTAACTGTGGAACAAGGCTGTTTTATCCTCTCGAAGCAGTAGACACAGTGGCTAGGACCAGTAAGTCTTTGAGTTCAAATGTTTCAGAACTGAAGAAAGCTTGTTGGTGAGCTCAAAGCAAAACATGATCAAAACTCACATTTATTTAAGTCTCTGTAACATGTAACAGTAAGACAAAAGGCAATCCAGTTAGATATATCTTTCCTATGGGATGTGGTGCATTTTAATAATGACTCGAGGGTAATTTGACATGCTGGAATGATACCCATCAATGGTGCTGAAGAAACTAAAACAAGAACTCAGCTCTGCCCTCTAAGGAAATAATTGGATCGTCTTCCCTCTCCTGCCCCTGTACCCTTCTTCCTGTTAGGGTATTGCCTGAGTGGTTTTCCTTATTTCTTATAGTCATGGTTTGACAGCTGGAAGTGCCTTAGAAATGATCTGTTATATGTCCCTGCCCCAATTTTGTAATTAAGAAAGCTAAGGTAATATTGACATCCACAAAATCACACAACTGTTGTAGCAGAGCACATAGGGGAATCCAAAATCCACAGTCTTGTTACTTTTCAAAATGCTGAACTCCTGCCATTTCTGATCATTATAATCTTGCCTTGAAATATAAGTTGCTCCCTCCTCCCAGGAGGAATTAGATTTTGCACACATGCAAGGAAAGCTGTTCCCACTTGTCTAGCCAAGCCTGTTTCGGGAACGAGTAAGCGCTCGTGTCAAAGTCATAGAGAGTTTATGCTGGGATAATGCAGCATATAGCTGTCCTTTGCCCTTTCTCTCCATGTCCGGAGTTTCAAGGTAGGAGATCAAAGTACATCCTGGTATTGACATGCTTTGTACTTGCAAAATAGTTGGTGAAATCACATTAACAGTGCCATATTGGTAATTACAGATGCCTATCCTTAACAGAAGGAGCCCTGGTGGCTTAGTAGATTACACTTTGGGCTGTTAACTAGAAGGTCAGTAGTTTGAACCCAAACCCACCAGCTGCTCCACAGGAGAAAGATGAGGCTTCCTGTTCCCATAAAGATTTACAGAGTGAAAAAAAAAGATTTACAGAGTCGAAAACCGATGAGGAGATGGGGACGGGTGGGTAGTACTATCCTATTCTGTAGGGTCAACATGAGTCAGAATTTACTCCATGCCAGTAAGTTGAGTTGAATTGTCTCATCAGAAGAAACCCTCGTGGTACAGTTTGCTCAGCTGCCAAAAGTTGGGGGTGGGAACCCAGTGCTTGACAGAGGAAAGGCCTACCAGTCCTATAAAGGAAATCCTATGGGGCGGTCTTTGACACGTGCTGTTGCTATGAGTCGGACTTAACTTCAAACCACACAACAGCCTCATCAGAGCACTTTGAGCTGCCGCCTTCTGTAGCATGGCCTGCTTTTCTTTGGTTGACTTTCCTGGCAAAGCCCACACCCTGTTTTTATGTAGTTCACAAGCTAAGAATGGTTTTACATTTTTACAAAGGATTTTAAAGGGAACAAAACAAAAATAAAGGAGTATGTTTGACAGAGACCATTTGTGGCCTTCAAATGCTAAAACTATTTACTAACTAGCTCTTTACAGGAAAACTTGGCTGACCCCTTCTTAAAATGAAAAACTGTTTGGGATTGGTAGCAGTTCAAAGCTTTTATCAAGACTTATTGAATGAAAAACAAACTTTGTCATATTTACATTTTTATCCAAGATGATATCAACATTTGGCTGAGTACCATCCAGATAGGCAGAGCAAGTCGACTTTAACTTCCAAGTTGTTTTTCTTGGTTTCAGCTTTTCCAACAACAAATGCAAGGAGCCTGCAAAATATACACTGAACATTTTGTGCATCACGCTCTCCTGGAATGTCACTGTATTCTTTCAAAGCTGTCAGCAGGCTTCCATGCAAGTAGGATGACACTGTTGGAATTTGAATGATGGCTTTGAGAGCAAGGTGTTTGGGGAGGAAAAAGTAGGGTTCCATGTGGAAGCTAAGGATTAATACACTCATCTCCCTTGTGTCAGAACGAATGACAAAAGCCATTCAAGTAAGGTTAGGATGGGTGTGAGGAAAGGAACTCTTGGATACAGATAGGGCACCAACTTCGGGAGAAGG